GAGGCATGGAACATATGTACCAAATATGCCAAAGATGTCTACAAAATTATCTCAGTTATTATTAAAAAACTGATTATTTTTGAAAACTTTGCCACCCTGTATCTCAAAAGTTAAGGCGTTTAGGACATACGTCCATAGGACGTTTTTTCCTTAAAATGGGTCTAAGAATCACCTCCTTAAATATTAGCATATGTTTAAGGAACACCCTGTATATTTGGGCATTGTTTCCTCACTAACTTTCCCCACTTTCTGTTGTGGGTATTCTCCATGTCTTGGCAGATCTTCAAGCATGTGCTTTCAATCTTGGCAGATTGGTCCATGATCATCTTCCAATGTCTCTCTTCTTATTTCTTCTAATATATTAGACAATGGAATATCCTTTATTGCGTTGCCCCCAAATGCTACCCACCTGGTTTAAAAAGTGCTACAACCTCTAGATGTAGCATTTTTTAGACCTGTTAAAATTGCCTGGAGAAAGATTTTGAATGAATGGAAAGACCATTTTCGCAATAGTAGCTGCTTGACAGTTCCAAAGATGAATTTCCAAGATTGTTAAAAAAACTCTAGAATATTTTACAGGAAAATTGTGTCCAAAAACTTATAGGCTGGCTTCCGTGAATGTGGTATTTTTCCTGCAAATCGTCACGAAGTATTACAAAGACTGCCCTTGTTCACTGTTGAAGCCTTACTTGCAGTAAAAGCATTGATTGGCGAGATATTTATTCAACACCTTAATTCGACGAGACAGACCATCACGTCTACAAGGACCAAGAAGGAAAAAAGAAGAGTTAACGTTCCTTCAGAAAAAAGAATCACAGCTTCCGACATCAACCCGCAAGATATCCATGACTTACCAGTGAGCTTAAATCAACCTTCAACTTCATCAGGACAGACTCATAAGCAAGCTAATCTTCCTAAAAGAATTAAAAGACTCGATGACGAATCTGATAGAGAAAATGAGAGTACAGGACATGTTTCTTATGCAGAAAGCGATCAAAGTCTCTATTCACCTCAACTGGGCGAACGATCTGATACAGACATGGTAGCCATTGAAATTCCTGACACAAATGTGCAGAAAAACGAAGTTAGTGCTGGTGAATATGTACTCGTTATGTACGAAAACCAACTGTATACAGGATAAAAGTAAAATAAGTGGCTAAGCATATAGTTTTGATTTCAGCGATGGAAAAGTGTGGGGGAAATTGGAAGTGGCCCAGAAAACTAGATGCGATTTGGTATTTCTATGATGACATTGAACAAAAATTTACAAGCCATGTCAAATATCTGAGAGAGAAATCTTAAGAGAGTTTGAGGAGTGCCTTTTTGTAGAATTGGGACTCCTCAAACTTTGAGTGCCAGAAGATGACAGTACTACCAACTGTCGAAAGCGCTCACAGATAATTAATAGCAGATATAAAGCTTCAAATCCTCTTTGTAGAATTTAATATTGAAATACTCAAAATGAAGGAAAATTAGTTGCATCAATCAAAATATCGGAAAAGTCTAGGGATATTTTTATAACATACTAAATATCAAAAATAAATGCATGAGGTCGTTTAATTTCGATTAAATTGGTACACTCGACCATCCTGTAGATTTCTATGGGTTGTACAAAGCCTGCAAAAACGGTAACTAATCTTTTATCAAGTTTTTTAAAAACTGTAGGTTTTCGGCTAGTGAGCCATATCTGAAAGTGTCGAGTTTGTACATTCTATGCAGTTCTTGCTCAGTAATTTAACTGGAAATATTGTGCTTTAACATGGAACGCCATCACTTACCATTGGCTGAGATGAATAGAGCTGTAGGGCTTCTTCAAGGTGGCA